AAATATATCGCAAAATGGATTTCCCAATTGCAAAAGATCATCGGATGCTTTAACAGGCTGTGGAGGAGGAACGTTGCTGGGCGTTCCTCCGAATAAATCGACGATTGGTTGCTGAGCTGTCGATCCGGTGGACAAAAATGGATTCGTACTACTGTTAGTCGGTGATTGCACCTTGGCCTAAACAAAAAAAAAAATTCAATTAAATTTCGATTTTAATTTTCAAATCAGAGTATCGTAAAGTAACGACTTGCATTGTATTGTCTCATGGCTGCTTCTTCTTCCGCCAAGGCCTGCTGCCTGACGCTTTCGTCGATTCCGTTTGCGGCCGAAGACGCCGAATCCAATCTCGTACTGGCAGCCACTGTTCCGAAAGCGCTGCTGGTGGAAGATAGAGCGGAGACGCCAGACTTAACATTCGTTCTATTGCTGAGTGTGCAATGAGGGAGTGTGAGAATGAGGGGAGGGAAATGATTTAACAAGGAAACAGAGAGATCAAGAGATAAAAAAGAAAATGAAAAAAAAAAAAAAAAAAAAAAAAACGTGAACGAAAGAGTCTTTGTAAAGACACTACTCTAAAGCGGGTGGCGGCACAATTATCGGCGGAAAAATAACGTACCTGGCGGATTGAGTCGGAGTGTTGGCAGCCGATCCTTTTTTCCCTTCGAGAGCTCCCAAATGTTGTTCGAGAGCATCCAATAGACTGCTCGGAGCTTTCGTTAAATCCGGAATATCTCCCTTGTCTATGCCGACGTTTTCTGCGACTTTTAAAAATTCACCCACTCTATCCATCCGTATGAGAAATTTTTTATACAAATCTAACGCGTCGCGACATTGTTTTTTGTTCATGTCAAAATATTTTTCTGCAAATGAAATAAATAAATTAATAAATAAATAAAAATTTCGAAATGGCATTAATTAATTAATTAATTAAATGTAAAAACCTTAAGGAATACCTAATAAATTAATGATTCCGTCATTGTAGCAAGCGAAAAGCCGAATCAAATCGCGGAATAACAACATGAAAGCCATGTTTATGACTCCGTTGGTTAAATCATTTGCCGTACAATCGAATTCCAAAAGACTATCAACTTGTGATTGTAAAACCGGAAGAGTTTTGAGAAGTTTTTCCGCGTTCATGGTACGCAAAGTTCCATCTTCCTTTCTGTAAATTTCAAATCGTGATTAACA